GGTCTCGGCCTGGGAGGCGATGCAGCAGCTGCTGATCTATTGCCGCCGCGATGAGGTGGTGCAGTGGGTCAATGGCCAAGATGAAGAGAAAGGGGGATAGCGGGTCTCCCTGGCGCAACCCACGGTGGTGGAGGATGCTGGGGCCTGCCGTGCCGTTGAGGGAGACCGAGGAGGACGCCGTGGCGAGGAGACGAGCCACCCAGTCTCGCCAACGCGCGCTAAACCCTAGATTTTGGAGCAATTCCAGCAGGTATTCCCAGGACACGGTGTCGAACGCCTTTGCTATGTCTAACTTCATAAGGAGGCCCGGTGTTTTGCGACGATGGAGGGCGCGGACAGAGTTTTGCACGAAGAGGAAGCTGTCGTGGATACACTTCGACTTCAGGAATGCCGTCTGTGCCGGTGAGATGATAGAGCCGATGACGGGCGCCAATCTAATAGAGAGAACCTTGGAGATGAGCTTGGTTATCGAGTGGATCAAGCTTATGGGCCTGTAGTCGGTGATCTCCGTCGCCCCATCCTTTTTTGGCAGGAGGATGATTGTCGCGTTGTTGATCGCCGACATGTCCCTGCCTGAGAGATTGTAGAATTGGTGGAAGGCGGCCATGGTGTCTGTCTTGATGATGGGCCAGCACGATCGAAAGAAAGTGCCATTGAAACCGTCCGGCCCCGAAGATTTCTCCTGCGGGGATTTGCAGATCGCCGCCCACATCTCTTCCTCGGTGAAGGGGTTGTCGAGGCCGGATGCTGGTAATGATGGCAGGTGGATGGATTCCCAGTTGATGGTACGGCTGCGAGGTGATGTCGTGCCCAGTGAAGATCGAAAATGCTCATGTATGATCCGCTCCTTGTCGCTGTGGGAGGTGGCAATGGAGTCTCGGGTGTGGAGGGCATGGATGAAATTTTTTTGGCGCCTTGAGTTGATCTTTGCTTGGAAGAACGCCGTCTTGGCGTCGCCCGCACGTAGCCAGGTGACGCGCGAAGCCTGCCTCTTATGCGCTCTCTCAATGGCGGCGAGTCCGAGGACACGCAGCTTGAGCTGTTTCCGCAATTGGAACTCCTCGTCTGTCAGCTGCCTACTCTCCTGGGCTATGTCGAGGCGGAGCACGATCTCGTTTGCAATGTGCATTTGGAGCTTTGTCTCGCTGAAGAAACCCTTGTCCCAAATCTTCAGGTCTTGGGCCACTCGCGCAAGCTTTATGTTGAGCCGTTTGAAAGCGCAGCTTGAGACGACTGGGCGATCCCACGCCCGCTGCACCGTGGTGTGGAAGCGAGGGAATCACGGCCAGAAAGACTCGAAGCGGAAGCGTGCCGCGCGGCGAGGAGCCGCCGCCTCCGACAGTAGCAAGGGGCAGTGATCAGAGCACGAGGTGGAAGCAGCATGAAGGAGGTAGGAGGGGAACATGGAGGCCCAAGCCGTGGTGCAGAAATTTTTTTCTATGCTAACTAGGGTTGGCGACGCGCGTTCTTTGCTCCATGTGAACCTTCTATTCTTGCACTTGATCTCCTTGAGCCCCGCCGCGTCGATCGCAGCTCTAAACTTTCCCATGATTCTACGGTTTATGTTGATGTTGTTTTTGTCGTGCGCTTCGTAGATCAGATTGAAATCGCCATTGATGAGCCAGGGGGCGCTTGAGGGCAGTGCAGCTCGCGCCAGCTCGGCCAGGAATTCATCTTTCCTACCGTCGTCGACCGGCCCGTAGACTGTCGTCAGCCAGAATGATGCCCTACTTGCCATGATGGTGATCTTGGCAATGATGGAGAAACTGCCTATGGCCTGCGAGAGCACCTCTACTCGGTTCTTGTCCCAGAAGATTGCGACGCCTCCCCTTGTGCCCATGGCGGGGAGGACGATGCAGTCGGCAAGCCGCGTTCCTCCAGTTTCCCTAACTAGTGCCCTGTTCCATTCGTCGATCTTCGTTTCCTGCAGGCAAAGGAGGGCTAGTTTGTGCGCCTCCGCTATCTCCAAGACTACAGCTCGCCGAGCTGGCGAGTTCAGGCCCCGTACGTTCCAACTCATAATCGGGCAATTTGTGTCATTCCTGGGGGAACAGAAGATAACTCCGGCGACTACTTCTACTAGAAAAGAAACACGGGTACACCTGCATCGGTCCGGGGGGTCGCTGGCGGCCACCAATAGGCCCCAAATTCCGCCGGCGAACATCTACGCCTCGCTCGCTAGAGAGACCTACACTACACATGATCGATCTTAACTCAACCCAGCCGAGTGCCGGGGTTCGCCGGAGGCTATTGCGACTAGGGAGTGCTAACATGGAGAGGTGGTGGCCTGCGAGGCCTCTTCGTCTGGACCATGCATACCCGCAGCTATCTTGAGTGTCGTGGCGTCGAGGTTGGTGAGCTTGGCAATTGCCTTGATGTCGGAGTCGGACAGAGGCTCGTCGAACCGGCGGATCAGCGCCTCCGCCGCCTTGGCCGTCATTGTCTCTTTGCGCCCGAGGATTCCGAGGCCTTGGACGATGCGGAGCGTTGCCCTCTGGCTGACCGGAACGCTGGACGGGTTGCTTGCCTGACGGGCGCTCTGATGAGACGGCGCCGCGGCAGGCCTGGAGCGGCAGGGCATCTTGGTGCGGGCGGGGGGCTTGCCCAGAACTGACGGTGCAGCGCTGACGAACAGCTATCTCGGATCACCGTCACCACCCGCATCGGCGACCCGCGGGTGGCACACCTGGGAGGTCACCGCGCCAAGCTGCACAGAGTGCGTGGTGGCCGGTCTGGGGGTGTGGCGGGCGAGCGGGAGGGCTGGGCCCATGTCGATGTCGTCGTCGTTGCCGCTGCCAGCGCCCGCATGATCGGTGAAGCTGAGCGGTTTGTCGACGGTGGCCGCGGCCGCCGTGTCCTTGGAAGGGCCGTGTCCGCGGCGCGAGGTGGGGGTGCGGCTGCGGTGGCGCTCAGAAGAGGGGGGTGGCGCGACCGGCTCCTTGCCGCGGCTCCGTCCGAGGAGCGTGTCTTTCCATGACCTCCTCTGGCCGCCGTTGTCGTCGCCGTCGTGACTGCGCCTGTGCCCCGCCGAGGGCATGCCCTTGCAGCCCGATGACGCCACCTGCGCGGGCAGGCG